AGAGAGAGAGAGAGAGAGAGAGAGAGAGAGAGAGAGAGAGAGAGAGAAGCTTACATAATTAGATCACGTCAGTAAGATAAGAGTTTTAAACAGGAGTAAAAAAGACAGGGAAGATACAGCAAGGAGGATGAGAAACATGGGGCTTGTTATTTTTGTTGTCAGAAGAGAAGGATGAGGAAGAGGAGGAGGAGGAGAAGGAGGAGGAGAGAGGAGGAGGAGGAAGAGGAGGAGGAGGAGGAGGAGGAGGAGGAGGAGGGGGAGAATGTAAAATATAATCTGGTTAAGCTCAGAAAAGGAGTTAAAAAAGGAAAATGAGACAGAATGACCCCATAAACTACTAAATACAGGTTCAAGCACACTGTAAAACTGTTTTATCTCATTTTGTTTAAATTGAGGAAAGGATAAAATGTGGACTTCCTCTTGTCACGTTGTCTCACACATTCTGGGCCTTACAGGAAGTGAGCCCAGACCATGAAAATCAAGTAAAATATGTTGTTCAAGATATCTTAAAGGGGATTTTGAGATGATGAAAAATGGAGGGAAAAAAGGAATTGTTTGAATGAAAGGGACACATTCCCAGGGATCAAACAGTATGATGATCAAACTACGTGTGGCACACACAAACACATAACTGGTCTACAAATATGATGAAAAGTGCCCAGCGGTTAGCAAAAGTAAACAAAGCAACTCCCCCTCCATAAATGAGAGCCAGGAAAAACAAAACAAGAAATCTCAAGGCGGAGAAACCCAGAATGCCCAAGCCAGCCACAGTCAGACACTCAACATAAGGCAAGTTCACAGGGAAAGAGGTCAGCACATGAAATGTGGATACCAAGAGAGTGATATTCAGTCACACAGGGAAAGGTAAGAGGACTTCCACATTCAAGAATTAGCTGTTCTCAAAAGCTTCAACCAAGGACAAACTTCAGACAACTAAAAGCTACATGGAGAGGTTTCCCAAATGTCTAACGGATACAGGGGAATGTATACACCGATAAAACAAAGATCAAGACCAAGGCAGGATCAGAAGATTCAGTCAGTGATTATAATTTGGAAAGGGAATCGTGGGAAGTCACCACAAACCCTATTTCTCACTTTATCCACAGTGTTTCACAAAATATTTACATGACCAGTTATGTGCTAAGACAGTAAGACAAACACTAGAAGATCCTGTGATCAATTTAAAGTGAGTGGTGGAAGACTTAATGAGAAGAAGGAAAACAGAGATACATGCAGCATCCTGAATTTAGCATCATTCACAAGAAGAGATCAATAGATAATCGTCCCAAAATAGAAGACTGGATATTCTGTAAATAGCTATATTCCTAAACTAGGCAGTTAAAATTAAAATTAAAGTATTCTGCACTATGAAAGGAACAGATGCGAGAGTGAGGAAGTCAGACAGTGATAATGAGAGTTTTAAGTCGTCATGACTGCACCCTGAGCACGCACTGGGAGAAGTAAGGCTTATACGCCATTTGTATAGAGGCACCTCCTGTCAGGGAAAGGGATGGTTACGTTCTGATGGAAAACCACTTGCTGTGTGGACTACTCTGTGTGGAGCTTGATGGCAGATTATTGGAACTCTTTTACATGACTTTTATTTTAAACAGTGGATAGCTTCAAGTAATGGTATTTAACCTGTGTTTATTTGGTGATTAAAGAAATTCAGTATTTTTTTCTATTTTATGGTTCTTTGTCTGGTAGATAAGTGGGTTTTTTGTATGTTTGTTTGTGTGTGTATGTGTTTTTTATTTTTTTCAAATTTATGCCACTTTGCCTTATGGGTAAGAATCAATCAAGTGATAGAGCACCCTTCTATCTTTCTGACACCACCGTTCAACTCTTAGTTGTGACCTTATCGTCTGGGTCCTTCTCACCTTCCTGAACGTACATACTGCTGCGTGCCAGGAACCAGTGTTTGTCTTTCCACTTTTCTGTCTATTTTTATTTGATTATTTTTTTATGATTTCCAAATGCTATCAACATACTATCTTCTAATGTATATATTCAACCATGACAGCCCCACTGCCTCTCTTTCAGAATCTCTGACTTCCCACCCCACATCTTCATGCAGGGCCAAAGAAACCAAGCCAGACACACTTAGTTGTCTGTTTCCTATGTGTCTGTGTGTCTGTCCCTGGTCAAATCATCAAGTCCTAGTTAAAACAGTACATTCATTAATACCCCAGCATCCAATGCCTGTTTTCTTGTTTTTGTTTTGTTATTTTTTTATTTGTTTTTGTTTTTTATCCATAGAATCCACCCCTATGTGGCAGACTTCATAGAAAAATGAGCTTATCACAGTAAAGGTTAAAGGTATAGCACATATTCATAGAATATAGCTGTTCCAGCATCACTGTGGTGTTTCACAGAGGCTATGGTCAAGCACAATCCTAAGGCAGCTCATAGGGTGGGTGCTGCAATTAACTTCTTTTTATAGAAAGGTCGAATGAATCTGCCTGAGAATCTGCTGTACTCCAGACTAACAACCTAGTTACCTACCATACCTCATAGTGTAGTGCATGCATGTGTGTGTGCATGAGTGAGTGCATATGTATTTCCCACTAGAATTAATTCCACTGATTCAAGAAATTTGTGTATTCCTTTTCTTTGCCCCGGCAGCTAGGAGGACCCACACATGGACCTGACAAGGAACACAGTCTTACTGAAAAATGCAGCCTCTCCTTTTTAAACAAGTAAAGCAGATTTTTGGTCATCTGTTTGTTCATTTGTTTGTTTGTTTGTTTGTTTTTTTGTTACAGAATACAATATGAAACACATGCAGAGGGGAGATGTTCTAAACTTGAAGTCACATTTCCAAGAATCAGTTTAGCCACATTAATTATTATAGACAGTATTGACATTAAGAAAAGGACAGTCAGTTTGACAAATTCATAAATATCTCAGAATTCCATGTTAAACTTTTTCAGCAAAGTTAAAGAAAAAATTAGTCATATATGTGTGGACTATGGCACTGGGAGTCAGACGGAAGTGAATATTCAAAACCAAGGATGCAGCTGACTGAGGATGTGGATTCCTTCAGCTCAGCAATAGTGAACACTGTTTGAGTTTCTATCCTGAGTGGGCTGATACTGGGTACTCCATCAGCTGTGTCAGCACAAGTTGATCTTGTGTTTCTGGTGCACAGCATCCACCTTGGGGTACAGAGAGAACTATAACCAAGGGCACCTATCATGTGATGGAGATCACAGCCCACTAAGCTAAAGGCTTAGGATGTGGAGACAGTACTCAAACTCACAGGACTGTTCAGGCACTAAGTCCTAAAGAGAAATATGCATTAGGTCATGGGCAGACATTTGAGGACTAACAAGAGTAGTGGTTAGCGTTTCATGTTTTGCAGCATGTGTTTCCAGTCCACACCTATGAATGAGACAATGAGGAAGCTGTTGACAGACCACAACACAGAGAATTAATCCTGAGATGCTGACTTCTTCCACTCTCTCATTCAAGTTGGTTTTGAGTGGCAGGCTACTTCTCTTGGGTTTCCATCAACAAAACAATTACTCACTGAACACTACCTACATTGAAATTTTGTCTGACTAAAGGTGAGAGACAAAAAGAAGAATTTAAAATATTGTTCTTACCCCTGAAGTATAATATTCGATTTGAAAAGGAAAAGAATCTGTTCACATCTGGTAAGGGATGGCTCTAATAAGTCATGAGCTAGAAAGATGTAACCTTGAGCTATAAGATGCTCTGGAGGGCAAGGTGCATCCTCACAGAGGAGATGCAATTGATCTGGACTGAAAAGCAAAGGAGCAGACAGAGAAGAAAATCATTCAGGAGCAAATTCAGGATACTGTCAAAGCTCAGTTTCTTTTGGGAAACCATTTGCCAAACAACTCAGAGTAAACAATGAAAAAGTAGATTGTGAAGCTAAAGGTTGTCATCAAATGTCAAGCTTGATATATCAGCCTATCATGTATCTACATCTATCTATCTATCTATCTATCTATCTATCTATCTATCTTCTATGATCTATTTATCCAGCTA